CAGAATTAGGGAAGAAAAAAAGCTTTTAAATGTGCTGCTGCTGTTTCCTGGAAGGACTTACAGAATGAGCTGAAAGGTCGGATTGCATGACAAAATTCGTATCTTGTTTGTAATTATAATACTTACATAAACTACTGTTTAAATATTATTGTTGCTGCTTTTCTTGTCTTCTGTTGACTTAAAGTTACTCCCAACACGTCTGTGAGTTGCCTAACCCGTCCTGTCAAAGCTGACTTGAAGCGAGAGTTGACATGATTCATTTAGCGGCTTCTCCTCGTTTCTGCCGTCCATTATCGTCTTCTGACTTTATCTTTTGGCATCTAACCACAAACCCGAACCATTTAAAGAGCGTTTTGCAGCTTTGCATGTTTTCCTAGCTTCAGGTGCACAACTGAAAAATATATTTGAAACACAGACAGGTAAATCAGGCCTTCCTACGACAATAACACGTGGAGTGATACAAGCTGACTGACACATTTAAATCGTTGCTATTTGTGATACCTTTATTAGTTATCATTAATAATAAGCTTTAAACATATTATGCTAAGTCACATGTCACACATTTGAAGCAGAAAAACATGGAATCGTTTCATGTCTGTGGGAGGTTATTCCCTCTGGTAGCTTTGACATTTCTTTCATCCGAACATAAAAACAGTACAAAAGTTGGCCTTTCACAAGAGAATGAGTCACAACCCTGAATCAGACCTCTTCAGCAAAATGGCGTCAGAAGCTCATCTCACAACAGGACCTGAGTGTGGCAACAGCAGGCCAGCTGTTTGCTAACATTAGCCACTTTAAGCTGTTAGTCACTAACAGCTAGCCAGGCTGCAACACACTCACTGTACTTATGAGTGTGTGTGACGTTTGAATTTCATATATTTTAAACGTCCTCACTCATGCACACTTTACGTGGGCATGAGTGGGAGAAGCGTCACGTGAGCAATTAGGCAAAGTTTGGCGCACTGATACACGAGGAGCGTTAGCGCACGCCGGGGACGTGCGCGGGCACGGCAGCAGTGCGCCGGTGAGCCGGTATTAACGCCAGGGTGCAATGTAGTCTGATGAAATTACCGTGGCTGTCAGCGCCTGTCTGGAAGCTTTGAGGCAGTACAAGAGAGTGGCTGCGGGCAAAGATGAAGCCGTACTTTTGGGCTTAATTATCCAGCTTTAAGCTAATTAGAGGAACACTTCACAAAAAGAACAGGGGTTAAAGAGGCCTAAGACATTACAGCGGGCCAACAGAACAGCACAGAAGCACCGTAGCTAAAGAGAAAGCCCCATTTGCCTGACACTGGAAATTAAAATCCAGGCTGATATAGAAGGAAAGGCAGATTTTTTTCCTTTTGCTTTTATTCACCTGGTGACTCCAGGACTAATTTCGGAATTTTGTGATTAAAATGTAAATGTGTGTGTGTGTGTGTGTGTGTGTGTGTGTGTGTGTGTGTGTGTGTGTGTGGGGGGGCTCGGATCTGACATCAGTGGCGAGGGTTAAGGTAGGCCGGGCAAAATAGCGTGTGTGGGGATAGAGTGTGTTTGAGAGACAAACTATTTTCTGCAGTGTGAGGGCAGCGGGGAGGATCTGTGGCTTAAAGCCATCACGGAGCCGCTCTGGAGGAGATGCATTCTTTATTCTGAGGAGGGGAGGAGGGACAGGAGAGAGAGAGGGGGAGAGAGAGGTGAGCGGAGAAGGCACGTCGCACTATCAGCTGAATCCATCTAAGAAAACAACTCGCAGGGAGTCCGGGTCTGAGCTACGCCAGGCACTGAAAGGCAAGTCTGACCTCCCCACCAAAAACAGCGCACAGGACGGACGCAGCTGGCCGTCATGGCCCGTGGCGGATCAGGCGGCGGACAGTTCGGCGAGTGCGTCCTCACCGTTCGGCCAGAGTGTGGAAGGCGAGAGAAGTGCCCCCTGCCGCTGTCTCCGGTGCTTTTGCGCCGCTCACGGTGTTGAGTCGAAGCGGAGGGAGCTCTCCTTTTAGAAGCTGGGAAAACGCAGGAGAGAAAAAAAAGTACCGACGGCAGTGCGGACGGACTCGCAGCCACATCCGAGAGACGCACACGGGGAGGCAGAAGGGGACATAACCCATGCGGGCAAATATGCTCCTCCGTAGAGTCGCCGGGTTCGAGCTGCTCGTAGGAACCGACTCGCACAAGCGTCGCCGAACAGAGCTTTACGCACGGGTTTGCAGCAGGACCGCATGAAGGACGGAGGCGTAAAGACGGGGGAAAAGTTGACTGCGGTTGCGGGGTTTGCGATGGATAAAGGCTCAGCAAAGGTACGATGGATGCTTTTCGGTCAATAATGAAAGTGTGTGTTAAAATGCAGCTTTACATCGGGCCCGGGCTGCGTTTAAACGAACCACTTTTCACTCGAAATTCATTATTCCAGTGCAGAAAGCGTAACCGAACCCACATCCAGCAGAACTAGGCATGGCAAGGAAAGGCGTTCGGGTTCCCAGACACTTTTAGAGAGAAAAAGCAAAGGAAAAACGGTTGTTCAGTTTATATTTGTGCGGTTCATGAGACATTTCATCGAGTTTTTGGCGCTAACAAAACACGCGGCTCCACATTTTTCCCACTCGAGTGAAAACCTGAGTTTTTTTTCTTCTTTTCCTCTTTCTTTTTGTAGAGGGGCTTTCACCCTCTGTGCACTGCACGGTTTTCGACGCCCCCCCCCCGTTCCCCGCTTTGAAATAATTCATTCAAATGAACACCGCTCACTGGGCAGCCTTTGAAGTGTACCTGATCCGCCTCTTATCGCCTCTTAAATGCCTTATCCATTTTTAAACTTTTAATTGCGTTTCTGGGGCTAAATCCAGTTCTAATCGGATTGTCCTGGCCACATATCACAGCGTTCATCTGGTGGTGAGAAACTGTGCTCCCTGGGCTGAAAATTAAATTAAAAAGAAAATCAAGACGGAAAAAAGCAGAGTGTTGGTGGGGTAGTTTTTTCTCTCCTTTTTTATCAAGCCACTGCAGCTCATTGATCTGTGTTTCTTTGGTGGTGTTAAGTAAACTCGACACTGTGCTTCTTTGAATCTGGATTCTTGGTGACATTTTATTTATGCACCTATCGTAATCTTGATGCTGCTGCCTTCTGCTGTTGATTCTGTCGCTGTGGCAGCACATTTTATCACCTCATGTGGTTGCTTATCCCCACCACCACAAGCTTATTTGATTAAATTTAGCTCTTTCAATTTAGAAAAGTAGATCACAGATGTGTGTCAGAGGATTGTTTCTCCATCCCTGCCACAAAGAGCCCATGCGGGCTTCCATCTAGTCAACAAACAAATGGAGGAATTTAAGGAAGCGGAGCCATGAAGGCGTATAGATTTCTTCTTCTTTCTTTCCCCCCTCCTTCTACTAAATATAGCTGCTTGTCTGATATACCAAGTCTGGATTTAGTTGTTCAACACGGCCCCTAAACTGAACAGATTCCTCTGAGCTCGCTGAATGATGAGGGGCCCCATAACCCTGCAAGGCTCCTTAATCCACAGTCACGGCCGTTGCAGTGCTTAACATTCAACCAGTCGTTCCCACCGTCGTGTGTCATCCAATGCTGACTTCGGGTGGAGCTTCAGTTAAGCTGAAAGCTACCTATGGTAAGGAAAGGAGGGGGGGGGGGCAAGGAAATATTTGATGGCTCATAAAAGTTGGAATAATGGATTTTAGGGAGGGGTGGTCTACTGTAATCCAGTGGCCTTGTGCTTCACTGCAAACCTCTCCGAGGTGGAAAAACAGCCTGTATCGATCATTTGTTGCAGGTGGAAGGCCTAAATTATTTTCCAATCCCATTTCTTTTGACAGCTTGTGCTTGTCACTCCATCCGGGGCGCGAGGGGAGGTGGAGCTGATATGCAGCGCCTCTGTTCCTCGATTGCCTCGTCTTTGTTTTCCAAACATCCACAGCCTCAAAATCTCCAGTTTGGCCACGTTAGGTTCAGGCCTTGCACGTAATAACGAGCTCTTCCTCGGGCCACCGGCAAAAACAATTGGCTGTGTTTACTGTAAGCACTTGTGTGTTTACCCGTGTACCTCTGCTCGAGAATCTGCACAGGCAGCTGGGAAGCAGAAAAGAGGCTGTTGCAGCTTGTTTTCTGTTCGGCATTGTTTTCTTTTCCCAGGAAATATCCTCCGTGTCCATGTTGGCACACAGACAGCTCATATCTTTATTAACCTCGCCTCTTTTTAGCATGTTTTCCATTAAGCAGCGGTGATGTTGCTGAGAAACCCTGTGAATCCACGAGTGTGTGTCCTTGCAGTGCTCTATTACCGCCTTTGATAGAGCGCACGGGATAAAAGCCTTCTTTATGTCTGTGAAACCGGATGTGCAGGAGCTGTTCAGAATATTTATCAGACTCTCTTTTTTTTTTTTTACATAGTCAGTGCATAATTCCACAGTGCAATGTTTTGTGCCTCTGTCTGTCTTGGGAAAGAAGGGAAGAGTGGGAGCAAAATGGAAGTCAGTTGGTATGTGTTTGTATTTTAAATAAAGAGACAGAGGGAAAAGGGAGGCCCCCTATTTTTCTTTTCTTTTTTTCCAAGAACAGGCCACCTCTGAAAATACTCATCTAGCTTCTCTTTGTTTTCCCGCAGGTCTCTGGATCCAAATGTCACCCCCCTTGGACTCTGCCCTGGTCTGGGACCAGCAGTGTGTGACGGACAGGCGAGCGGAGCCTGCGGTGGCACTCAAATTGGCCCTGGCTGAGCTCTGCATGGAGCAGCGAGAGAAGAGTCCTGCTATGGTCTGATGTCTCAGCATGGATGGAGTCAGTCGGAGGCCTGGCCACCACTAATGAGACCATCGCTCTTCGGCTGAGGACTAGCATTTACAGGATTACTCCCACAGTTTCCTGCTCTTTTCCCAGCTAACTGCATCATTACTTAACAATCTTAGTTGGACTTTTTTATATATTTTCATGGGTCTGGTTTTTGGTGGATATATACGTCATTTGCCTCTCTGATTTTCATTTTTTTATTCCCTCCCGCCAGTTTTTTTTTTTTTTTTAATTGTTGGTTTGCCTTTTTTCCCCCCTGTTTGTTTTTCCACTATGGAGTTTCTGGCTGGACCCTGGAATAAAGATTGGGCTTCGTTCTTGCAATTTTGGTTGACTGTCATCCTAAGCCTCCAAATGCAATTCAGCCCAGGTGCCTCTTGTCCGCAAGAGTGTCGTTGTGACAAAGGGTTTGTGTACTGCAACGAACGCAGCCTGACATCAGTGCCTCTGGGGATACAGGAGGGCTACAAGGTCCTCTACCTCCACAACAACCAGATCAACAATGCTGGTTTCCCTGTGGAACTTCACAATCTGGTCTCCGTAGAAACTGTGTACCTGTACGGCAACCAGCTGGACGAATTCCCCGTGAATCTGCCCAAAAACACCAAGGTCCTGCACCTCCAGGAGAACAATATCCAAACAATCTCCAAGGCAGCTCTTGCCCAATTGACTAAACTAGAGGAGCTACACCTTGACGATAACTCCATCTCCACAGTAGGGGTGGAAGAAGGGGCCTTCAGGGAGGCGGTAAGCCTCAAACTCCTCTTCCTCACCAAGAACCACTTAAGCAGCGTTCCCATTGGTCTTCCCGAAGACCTGAAGGAGCTGCGGTTAGATGAGAACCGCATTGCTGTCATTGCAGAGGAGGCCTTCCAGAATGTGACACGTCTACAGCGCCTCCTGCTGGACGGGAACCTGCTGACAGATGAGGGCATCGCACCAGGGACCTTCCAGGACCTGGCCACCCTCCGTGAGTTGGCTCTGGCCCGCAATTCACTAACTTTCCCCCCTCCTCTCTTGCCCAGCCAGTCGCTGGTCAAACTTAGCCTACAGGAGAACCAGATCGACCAGATCCCCGTGGCGGCGTTTGCGGGTCTAAACAGGCTGGAAAGACTGGATATCTCCAGCAACCAGCTTCAAACTCTAACGCAAGGTGTGTTCGATGGCCTGTCCAGCTTGAGGCACCTCATAGTGCGAAACAACCCGTGGCGCTGTGACTGCACCGTAAAATGGGTGGTGGTGTGGCTCAAATCGCTGCCTTCCTCTGTCAACGCCCGCGGGTTTACGTGCTCGAGTCCGGAGAAGGTGCGTGGCATGACAATCAGAGAGCTCACGCTGGATATTATCGAGTGCCCCATTCAACCCGACCAGCCACCCTGGCCCACCCTCCGCTCCACACCCCCTCCCCCACCCACCACCACCCCTGTCACCACCATGATTTCCACCCTCATCACTTCATCCATCCCTTACTACTTTGACTCCCCCTCCCCCACGCTGCCCCCCTTACTTAACAACCCTGCCGGACCCCTGCCTCCTTACGAGGACCCTCTTCAGATCTCCTTCCACGTGGTCAACTCCACCAACATCGACGTGAGCTGGGCTTCCTACTTTACTGTCACCGCCTACAAGGTCACTTGGGTCAAAAGGGGCCAAAGCCAAATCAACGAAGGAATGCAGGAGAGGACGGTGAGCGGGGACCTGCGGCGCATCAGCCTCACCAACCTGGATCCCCGGTCTGTGTATCGGATCTGCGTGCACGTCCTGGACACCCTTAATTCCTATAGGCCTGGGGAGGATACTATATGCTCCGAGGCCAGGACCAAGCCGCCAGTGACCACCAAGCCTCCGGGCAGAGAGCAGGCTCCTCAGGACAGCATCAGCTCCACGCTGCTAATGGCTGGGATCATAGGAGGGGCTGTTCTTATCGTCCTGGTTACGCTGCTCAGCTTGTTCTGCTGGCACATGCACAGGAAGAACCGGTCGTCTTCGACCAAGTGGAAATACAACCGCGGCAGGAGAAAAGACGACTACTGTGAGGCTGGAACCAAGAAGGATAACTCCATTCTGGAGATGACTGAGACCAGTTTCCAGATAGTGGCGCTGAACAATGAGCAGCTGCTCAAGGGAGATTTCCGCATCCAGCCCATCTACACTCCCAACGGGGGCATTGGATTTAGAGACTGTCACCTCAGTAACAACAGCATAGCCTACTGCAAGAGCAGCAACGTGCCCAGTACAGAGTTCTGCCACACGTGATGCTGCAGACACTCAGTACAGCAGCATACACACACACACACACACACACACACACACACACACACACACACAAAGCAAAAAGACTTGCATAAACACACACACACACTGTTTGTCTAGACATTGAAAAATATAAAAAATTATAGTGAAATATAACTGTATTATATATATTTCCAAGTTCTGTCTACGATGTAATTTATACTGTGGATAATAATGTGGGATTCTCTGCTATCTTTTTTATTCCTAGAAAAACAGATACAAGTGTTTCTTTTTTTTTTATAACCAGCAGGGTTTTGGAAGTTGTTTTAACGGTCAGTACTGTACATGAACATGGATTTGTACAATCACGGCACCCTGGGTGTAGCTTCTGACAAAAGAAAACTTGCTGTCAGCCTTGGAAATGTTTTTTGGGAGAGGGGGCGCTTTAGGAGGGCTGGGATCCTTTGCTAACCACAGAAGCAAAAATAGGACCTTTTCACACTTTGAAACCCTGCAAAAAAATCAAAAGAATAATAAAAACACCCTCCCCAGAACAACACAGCAGACGGGGAAATCCAAACACTGCTGATTAGAGGAAATATGGCGCTGGTTCAGTGACGGTGTGTTTAAAAAGGAAAAAAAGAAAACGTGAGAATTGAAGTGCACGTTCTTATTAATGGCAGCAAGGCAGGAAATGAGCAGAGGTAGGCAGTGGTGGCGTGTGACGGGGGTTTTGCACGGCTGTGCAGGCTGGGAATATCATCGGTGTTGTTGAAAAGCCTGGGCTGAAAGTTCCTTAACACTAAAAGCATCTTTGTTCTGTTTGTTTCCAGGTAGAATTGGTGGGTTTTGGACAGCTCTGGAAAAATTATTGTTTCTAAAATCATGCTTGAATGTGCTGATTCTTGCTGGTCCTTTCCTTTCGAAGAAACATTCATTCGCTCAGCTTCTTTTCCCCCCCAAATGTTTGGGCCAGTGAGGCCACAAGGGGGCAGTTTTCCTCAGCGTTGTGTGTGTGTGTGTGTGTGTGTGTGTGTGTGTGTGTGTGTGTGTGTGTGTGTGTGTGTGTGTGTGTGTTACATAGACAGGCCAGAGAGATCACTTTACCTCCACCATTTCCCCCGAGCCCATTACCCAGACAACATTACTCATGCTTGAACAGCATTGTGTCGAGTATTTTTGCTCATTGGGCTACTTAATGATGTGGAATCATTTAAAACTAACAGTGTTTCTGTGTTTGCTGGCTAAATGATATGGATTTTCACCACTCCGGTCCATTATGAGATGATTTGTGTGTGTGTGTGTGTGTGTGGAGAGCATGATGAATTTTGATATGGCTCACACATAACACTAATTATACAGCCACTTATCTCAACCTTGTCCCATCGTCCATTAGACTTTGTGATAAATTAGGAAATTACAACAATGGACTCGCACCCCGCCCATGATCGCACACTGCGCTGCGACCGAGCGCTTCATCTACCTTCTCATTATTTATCCTTTTGTCCGCACTTATAGTGTGGCCTTTTTCATTCACGCTTTGCTCAGCCAAAACAATGCAGCTGCTCACTTCACAACAGCATCTCTGAGAGGATGATTGCCACTCTGTCTGCCTTCCCGTGTCAGCGTCCAACTCTTCGCTCTGATCTGTGCACGGCTCAGTTAAAACGCTTTCCCTGCCCTTCAGCTTGTAAGCGTTGGTGGCTTCTCTTTGCATCGAATGTGAGGGTGCCAGTGTGAGGTCTTCATTATGCACCTCTTAAGGAAACTTTATTTGATTTGACAAGATTTTATTTTGAGGGGCCAGGCTTAAAGAGCTGCTTCCCTTTTCTTTCCCCCTTCACATAATCCTCAACCAAAAAAGGGAGAGAAATATGTAGGCCTTATTTTCACATGGCTGCCCGAAGCTCATGCTGAGAGGTAGTTTTTAACTCTTTGCGAGGCACACAGAGTCAGCTGTTCAAATGCACTGTACCCGACAGAGTCGGCACAACCTAAGATCACTTTTTACAATTCAGAGATTTTTTAAGGGCTCGTGCGAAGCGTTGAAATTAAAAGTAAGCGCTCTTCCTATGACTCCAGCAATAGCTCAGTTTGTGATAAATTGGCCTGTTTGCAATTCCAGAGCTTAAAATCTGTTCAACCTTTAATTGAATACTTTAATGAATTAAATCATCCATCTTAAAATGTAATTTAAGGTCACCCTAAAATTATTTTTACGTATTGAAAATTCATTTGTTTTTTAGATGGAAGTGGTAATTTCTTTTTCAAAGATAAAATCTCTGTCATAAATTTTTTTTTAATGACAGAGATTTTAATGACATTTTTTTCTGAGTGTTTAGCTGAAAAAAAATCTAGAGTTTCATCATAAAAACTTTTTGTAACATTTCAGAATATCGTATATTATCATGTAGCCTAATTGTTCTTTGCTGTACAGTTGTTGTGTGTTTAGGTCACAGATTTACTCTTTGCAGCTCTTTGTTCATTTGCACAAAAAAAAGAAACAAAAACCGAAGATATATAATTTGTTTTCTCAGAAAAGCGTTTTAGCTAGTATAGCAATATTTGAACAAGGATCAATAGCAAATATGTTATAGCTATCACAACATTATTTTTGTCAGGTCTGTTTTTTTGGTCATGATAGTTGTGCAGTAAAATCTATTAAAAACATCTAATTAACACCACTTTACTGTTAGCATGCTAAAAAAAGGTGCTAGCACCAGCAGCCAGCTAGCCTAACCTAGCTTGGAAAGTAAAAACATGAAAACAGCTTGTAAACAGCTTGTTTGCACTCGCAAACAAGTCTATGAAGTCTTCTACGCTGTAAAACCACAAGGTCATTTTTAGACTTCTAATTTTTGTACAGATTGAACAAATGTGATCTAATGTAGATATTGGACATAGCGAGATTAGCCATAGCCCTGTCTGTTTCAAGCTAAGCTCATCTGCTCTTGACTACGACTTCGTGTCTATGGCATCAATCTTCTCCTTACTTTAGTAAGAAACCACCTATTATTCCCCAACTTCTCAATTAATATGCAGGTGGTTTAGATAATTTATTTAAAGCTAAGGATGATTGATAGCGATGATTGATTTGTCGATCGGGTTTTTTAATTTCTTTTTTGCCATCATATCCAAATGTATTTTGTTTGTGAATATTTTTAACCAAAATAGTCACAATATCAATCATGTGAAAAAGGAACAATCATACTACTCTGTTCACTATAAGGGACACTGTCACTGGCTGCCTATTATCCTAGTTGAGCTTCAAGTCTGAAAACTGGAAAAAAGCTAGTGTGCTCAGGCTAACGCTAAAAAAAATTTACTATAAAATGTTGTTTTTAGACTTCATATTTTTGCACAGATTAAAAACAAATGTGAAGTAATGTGCTCATTAGTGGTGTTGGCATTGGTGCTGGTAAATGTTGAGTTGAACATAACAGTTTTAGCTTATCACTGAATTAAGCTATACAGACATGAAAGTGATGTGAGTCTTCTCATTAATCTCAGCAAAAAAGTGAACTTTGTAAAACGGCAAACGCCTTCTTTCACTCCTCAGCTCCTATTCAAGTATGTAAATCATTTTTAAAAATTATTTCAAGTTGTTCTACATCTTCTGTGGTTATCAAAGTATCTCTACTTTTTGTTTAAATCTTTTTCTACTAATACACATATCAGCCAACCCAATACATGCTGTCCATCGAGACACACCAGGCTGCCCTGACCTGTGCTCGGCTTTCCCCTGCTGGGTACCTAACCGACAGTTCACCATGTACTGTTCGCTACATGCTTTAACAGCTGACCATAATCCCACGCAGCACTTGAACATGCTACCACTGGGATTTTTTTTTTCTTTCATTTTAGATATAAAGCCCTATTTTAGTCCCATGATCAAGCAAGCCAGGTGAATCCATTGCAACATTTAGCATCTCCCCCTGTCTGTGAATGTGTAACGGAGACAGATATTTGCCTTACCTTTTATGCAGGAATGAATAATTAACGAGAGGGAGAGAGAGCGAGGGAGTTAAGTGGGAGGAAGAAAGGGGAGTAGAAAACATGAGACATAAAGAGACGGCAGCAAGAACAGAAAGCACATTTCTCCGATCGACTGCAGCAACAATAACGGCGTTAACAGGAAGCGTGACACACACACTAGCTAACGAAGAGACTGTTCATCCATAGTGCCAGAAATTAAGCGGTGCACTGCTAATGATTCAGCCAGACTGGGAAGAGGCTTTGGTGGTTGTTTTGCAGCATACATTACTCTTAATTTCGATCAAGAGACTGCAGTGCCATAGCCAATGGAATTTACACACGGCTGCGAATGTCGTCTTATTACAGTTTCAGGGTGCCGAGAAGCTCATTGATTCACGTTGGAATAATTACGTTTAATCATTGAGAGGTCACCTCAGACAGAACACGTGAAATTGAAAAGGTGGAAAGTCGCCCGTTTCTTCCTGCAGGCAGAACCTTTGCTGCAAATATCTATTAGCCAGTGATGTTCATTCAAGAATTTTTTGCATGTACTGTATTTAGCTTCATAGCCTTTCATTTGTTATCACACCGAGGTTTGGACTTTCAAATATTTCTTCTTCCCAGTCGATCGCCACACGCGGTTGAGATGCAGCACGGGCAACCGCACGCAGAGATTTTCTTTGGTGTAGAGGAAGTAGGCTGGAAACTTACAGTGCATGTAAAATGGCTATGTTGGGATACGTCGCCATCCTGGCTTCTGGCTTCTCATCCGAGACACAGTGTTACGTTAGCCATCCACACCGAGACGTTTTCTTAGGAACCAAAGTTAAATTTCTGTTCTCATGATGAAATATTGATGTTGTTCCATGTATGTGCCTTGAGGTTGAACTTACAATGTAAAGTCCTTGAAACCTTTAAATGTTTTTGCACAAACTGTAAATACTTAAGTGAAGCTTTTTGAAAATAAAAGAGCCATTGGATTTGAGCGATCACTCGTTTCCTTGTATCCAGCAAAGAAGTGAATGTGTTCTTTGGAGTGATCCTGCATTCTTGTTGCTCTACATGTTCCCCAAAAACACACTCGGAGCGAAATCTATTTTGGGTCAGACACTGGC